AACTGTGGCCGTCGTGTTAGTAAGCTTTGCTATTGGTTGCTCTTCCTTTTGCTTGTAATTCGTCTCGAGCTTTACGAGCTTTACTCTTCTTGTTTTAACGGATGTAAATATATGGGATCGAGCACTGCCATGTTTCCTCTCGTAGGACGATGAGATGGAGCTCTCATGTGACCACACACGTTGAGCATCGCCGCGCGCAGACACGCTCGCCGCAGCGATGTAAACAGGTGTCTCCGCGGCTGGATGAGCACCTGGGGCAAAATGCTTTCGGGCCACTCGTCCTCTATTTTTCTCTTTTTTCTCCGCGGCTTTAACGCCCGCAGCATCACCGACTGTTGGCTCCTTTTTCGGCTTTTTGGCGTTTGGGAGCTTTGTTGTTCTTTGCTCCCAGCTTCCGCTCCTGTTGGTTTCTTGGCGGTTGGCCTCGGCTTAGGGCACAGTGCTTGTAGTTTTTTCGCACTTTCGATTGCTGGGCTCCCAGCCATCCGGTTCCTTGGCTTTTTAGCCTTTTGTTTAGTGGTCGTTTCCATTTAACCCTTTTAGTCACTTTTCGCCGGGGATCAGAAAACGGGCATCCCAGGTTAGTGATTTGTTTGTGATGTTGACCCACGTCAATCAACCCCAGTTCATTATTTCTAGGGGGTGTCCCTGTCAAAAATGCAATTCCAGTTTTATAGGGGTCCCGTTTGAGGCCCCTAGTCTTGAGCCACAGCCAACTGGGTTTGATTTGTATGGGGGCAACATTATTCAACAAGGCATTCTTAGGGCCGTTCGGCCCAGCCCAGCATCAGCTGTGCGGTGCTGCGCAGGTTGACCTGGTGTAACATGCGCGCTTTTGGTGAGAAAATGCAGTAGGATACGGCGTCTGAAGAGCAAACTCAACGAAGAAACACCCATTTCCAATTCAGTCTGGACCCAAATGCGGGTCGCTAGAGGGAAAGAGCAGACTTGGGCCTGCTCAAGTCTTCTTCCACTAAGTACTGCTTTGTAGTGGTTTATGATTGATTTAGTATGCCTTGAAGCTGGCCTGCGTACTAGCTCAGTATTCGTTAGAGTTGGTTTAGTGCTGTTGTGCTGCCCCGTCCGTGTACCACCCCCTTGAGACATATGTTTGGAGAGCTGTTGGAGGAAAGGGTGTCAAAAACAGTTTGACAGTTTGGGACCTCAGTCGGTTTCGCTGGCTTGTGGCGGTTTTCTATTGGTTAAGTGTTGCAAGTTTAGTATTGGATGCTATTGATTCAGCTTTGGCTTAGCATTCCTTTATTCCGGTCTCGGGGCTTTCCCATACTACTCCCTGGAAATCTGTTTACCAAAGTGTGGCATCAAGAATGTGGCTGTTTGTGGTCTGACTGGGTTTGGTTGGATTAGGTTGGCTTATTTGCTATTGGTCTAGTATCGGCTAACGAGCTTAGCATTAGTCAGTATAGGTTCAGTGTTGGTTACTATTAGTTTGGTATTGGTTTAGCATTGGTCTCGTATTGTGAGGGTTGTGGAACACATTGTTTTCTATCGCAAACAAAGCTGTTCTGTATTCAACCTGCCCTTTTACTTTCTGAAAAGGACACAGTTTCAGGGACACTCGTTTGTTGTACCTGCTGATTGAGTACTCACTATCCGACATCATAATCCAATGTTTTCCTGGCGGCTTCAAGATGGACTCCGTTTTGCGGAGCTATTCTGGCAGAAGCCGCAGCCTGTCAAGACGTGCAGAGCGCACAGTAGGCGAGCTTTTTTAGCGGCATTCCAGGCCTCTTGCACGCAAGGGCTCCATTCAGCGACATGCGCGGTGGTAGTTTAGAGCTGTTTGCAGCCTGGGGCTGCTATGCTGAGCCGTCAGAGAAAACATCTGGGTGTGGGTCAAAATGAAACCACTAATTAGGGGACCGCAGGTTTTCGTCCCTGTTTCCATTACCAGGGTTCAATGTTGGGTACCTTTTTTTCACCCAGAGCCATCTAGGCGCTGACTCCAAGTTGTTGGAGCAGCCTTGGCCCTGGGCAACAGAAATCCCCGAGGCCCAAGACTTGATGTCAAGAAAACGTTTGGTTGACAAGTGTTTTTCCCATTGGAACCTAAAAAGTTAAACTTTTGGCCGAGGGGTCGTGACAGAACAGCCCCTTTCCTCGGATTGAGTTTCTGGCCACAAGTGGGGCACAGCTTAACACGCAGTGGCGTCAGACGGGATGCAACAGGAGCTGCCGTTGTGTGTGTCGGGTTCGCGCTCGGTCACTGGAACCTTGCCAAAGCGGCACCCGCCGCCAGGTTGCAGGTTTCACACGGGCTACACCGGAGTCGAAATCCCCTGTGGATGGACGAAATTTTGTCCTAAGAAGCCCTGGAATGACGATTCCCTTGTGCACGTAATTACCCACAAACCTTCTGGTTTCAACCATAGTTTCATTTCGTTGTGCGAAATAAAAATCGCAATCGTCCACACAATGATTTGTTCTGCCAAAACTTCCATTTTCTTACGAATATTTGTTATTTTCCCCCGTTGGAAGGGTCTTCTTCACTACTGTGTTTTTCAAGGGGGCGCAGTCAAACGGAAATTAAAAGCGGTTGGTGGACATAAACCCCCCTCATGATGTCCACCAATTCCCGGATGACGGCTCAGATGGAAATGATTTGCTCCAAAACGTCCATTCGCGAACATTTTTTTTTTGTTTTATTTTCCCCCTGTTGGCTTCAAAGGGAATTTATCGCTAGGATTTCTTTTTCAGGGCGCGTATTCCCGAAACGTTGGGCACGTGGGTGGATGGAGGGTCTGGGTGGATGGGTGGGTGGATGGATGGGGGGGATTGGATGGTGGATGGGTGTCCCGGCCTAACCACTTGACTGCTACTGTATTGGATCTTTCAACTTTTTCCAACTTTTTGGTTGAAATATTTCACGGTGTTTTCTACTCCCCCCAAAGGTGTTTTCTACTAAGCCCCCAAAAGTTGAAAGCCTTTTTGCAGGGTCAACCGCAGCCGAGTAACCAGAGGCAAGAACAAGGGCAAGCTGCGGGCCCTGGACCTGTTGCCCGACTTTCACCCGGAGCGCCAGCTTCGGATGGCCTTCCTGGCGCCTCGGCCAGGAAATTCGGCGGGCGGGCGGGCGGGCGAGAGGCGCGAGAGGCGTCCCATGTCTGTGGCCCGTTTTGGAGGTCGCAACATGGCTTCGGTGCCCTTGGTCTGAAGATGAAAGATGAGTCGCACGAAGATGAAAGATGAGTTAGACGAAGATGAGACATCGAATGTGTTTTGTTTCTTCTGAATGTGAAGCTGAACCATCCAGTATGCTGGCTTTCTGATGCGATATGACGCCTGAGGCAAATCAATGCGGCAAGTGGCAGCTGCCCTCTGACCGACGTTTGCGACACCAGCTGGTGAGGCAGAAGTACCTGCAACACCCTGGGGCTGAAGAGGAGGAAGTGCTGACGCTGTGGCTATATCGTCTTGTGACGCGTGGGGTTGGTATGTTCCAGCGAATGGCCCACTGGTACGTGTGAATAATATGTGTATATATATACGTATATATATATATATATATGTGTGGTTGCTTCTTTGTCCGGTGGTTTTTGCTTCGCTGTTTTGTTGACTCATGCTTGTCTGACTCACCGACTGTCACGCATTTGTTGACTGCTAAATGAACTGGTTGTCTGGTCGGTTGATTGTGATTGACCGGTTGTTTGCTGGGTTGATTGTCTGATTGGTTGGTTGCGTGGTTGCTTGGTTGGTTGGTTGGTTGGTTGGTTGGTTGGTTGCTGATTGGCAGCTTGGCCGGCTGGCTGGCTGGCTGGCTGGCTGGGTGGATTGCTTGCTTGCTTGTTTGCTGGCTGGCTGGTTGGTTGGCTGGTTGGCAGACGGTCCTGTTTGTCTTATTTTGTGTTTGGCATTCTTTGATCGTTTTGTCGCATGCTTGGGACAAACGCACACACGCATTCTCACATCTGTTTCGAAGGCTGGTGACTCCCAACTTGCGCGCACTTCGATTGGTCGCGCATCCTCCTTTCGTCTTTCCAAGCTCCTCCAAGGCTTTCAACTGATGGAATCTCTGGGCCCGTTTTCGAGGACGGCAGTTTGTTTTCGAGCCCCGAGGCAGGCGATGCAGGACTTCAGCCGCAAGCACGGGCTGCCTACCATGCGCACCTACAACGGATATGTCTTCCAGCTCGGCTCCTTCATGTCCCGAAACGATCCTTCCCGCCGGGACATCTTGCACTTCAAGTGACGCGGCCGGGCCTCGGGCATCTGACGAAAGTAGCAGCTCAGGACATCTCAAGACGAAAGGTGCCACTCGGAGCCACGGGGTCCAGGTGCAAAGTTGGTTGGGCAATGTGGGCAGTGGCGCGCCATTTCAGCAAGATGAGACGCGCTCGGAAAGCGAGATGGGAGCCGAACGCCGAGGTTGCAACCAAAAAGAGTGCCAATCAGATTGCCTCGGTCGGGGGTTGCCAGCTGCCAAGTGTCCTGACAATTCGCACGGTCCCCCCAAATGTATGTTCGCCTGGGGGCCAGACGATATTTATGAGTAGGGTAAGTATCCTCACAGGGGTGTTCCGCTACGGTCCTCATTTGCGGGCGCCCACAAATCGTTCAAAATTTGCGATTTCCGAGTACGGAATGCAATCAATCCATGTCATTTTTCGGATTTGTGCTGGTTTCGTTTTAGTTTAACTTTGGTTTAATATCGGTTTAGTTTGGTTTAGCTTTGAGGTCTAGCATTGGTTCTTCCGTGCCCCCATTTTTTAAAAAAGTATTGGCAAGTTCTAGTTTACTGGAAGCTTTCAGGCTTTGGACTGATGAGAAGGTAACGGCAGACTGCGCGGCTTTTCGTCTGGGGGCTGTAGCCACCACCAAAGAAAGTGTAAGAGCGTGGTTGGCATATATGAACTAGATGTACGCGTGAACCTAAATTCTACTCCACAATCATGAGGCTGGCTTCAGGATCCCTTTCACTGACGCGCGCTCGCTGTCTTTTTCTCGGCCTTGGACATCTTTTCGCTCTTATCCGAGCCAAGGAGCTGCCGGAGGATAGCTCCTTGGCGCGCCATTAAAAGAATGGTTGACCCAATTTGGATGATGAACACCCTGAGGCAGATCATGGCGGTTATATTCACCCTCATTGCTTTAATGGCAACTCAACCCCACACTGGAGTTGCCTATGGACCTGGGATGCGAGGGAGATGGCTCTGCATGCTTCCAGCAATGCTTGCATTGCGCCGCGAAGAAGTTTCTACGGTTTTCGGCAGGGGCAGATGTCTTCGTTGTTCACATGGTTTTAGTGAATTAGAGGCTGCCAAAGACCAAGCGAGCCTCAGTTGGTGATTTGGATTGGCTTGAGGATTTAAACCTCTTCTTGTAGAAGACCACCCCAGGAACACCTCCAAAGCACCGTGCTCCAAGCCACCAATGAGTCCCCCTATAGTGGAAAAGCAGTCATGGGAATTACCCGTCTTGTCTGGGAAGCTGAAGTACGTTGAAGCACCGCTTCTTTTGGTCACCGGATTGAAGACAAGCCTTGGCCGCGAGGTTTTTGGTCCGAGCTGCTTGCCAAGCGCAGCCTCCTCTCCGCCGAGGAGGAGGATGTGCCAGATGTATGGAACTTCCGGCTCAGTGCCTGGGCGAAACGAAAACTAGGTCCCCATAGGTTTCCAGTCGTGCCCTTTTACCCGTTGTTGGGGGAGGGTTCCCCTACCAAAATAGACTACATAAAAAAGGGTACCCTTTTTCTAACCTGTCTGCTGGAGGACCTGGAAAAAGCTCAACCATGCCAATTGTTTAAGAACTGGTTGGTACTGTGAGTTTTCCGCTGTTTCGCCTTTTGACCAATGATCTGCCACTGCAATTTCGCCACGTAGCAGAGTGAGTCCTGATCTTGCAACCCCCAGCAAACTTCTTTTCGGGAGGCCTGTCAGCAAAAGGAAGCCGAGCAATCATTTCTCAGCATCAACAGCTTTTGACCAGCACAATTGAAGAACGTGCCGCGGATCGATGAGACTGATCTATCTGATTCGGTGTTCCCAGCTATTTAGTGGGCCAACCATCCATGTTGGTCACGCGTGCAGCACAATCGGTCTGCACACCTGCGTTCAAGCGCTTCGACGGTTATCGTCACGCCTTCTCGTTACAGCGTGAATTCGGCTTGGCATTTTCAGCGGCGGCTGCGCCAAAGCGGTCAGCGCGCAGACTGAGGGCTCCCACCCGACCAACACTATTTGGCCGGGGACGTTTTAGTGGCACCTCGCCGGCATGGAGCTCGGAGTTTGGCCACGGACGCCAGAACCTTTTGCGGGGACATCTTCGAGGTCAGGGGGCCTCAATCTCTTGCTGTCTTGGTCTTTGGGCAGGGACATTTTTTGTTCCCTAGGAGTGGTCTAAGGAATGATGAACAATACTCCCTTAATCAACCCTGCAAATTGGCAATGGGGCACATCCAGGGGATGCGTGCGTTCTTGAATTCTATGCGCCCTCTACAGTTGAAGCCACTTTCCATTGAAAGCAGGGCCACAAGAATGTGCTAAATGGATGCATGTGTCTGGTTGCCACTAACTAGCCAAACGCTCCAGGCTTGAGATAGCCGCACAAGCCAGCAGCCACTTGCCAGATGGAGTGGCTTGAGCAGCCAATACAGGCTTCGAACAGGCTTCGAACAGGCTTCGAACAGGCCAATACGAGTCTTGACCAACAGGCTTCGAACAGATGAACACATCGCCCTGGCACCCGCTGGTTTCATTCGAGAGACCTGAGATACGATGCTGGGCGAAGGCCCGGACTCGGCCAAGGACACCTCCAAATTGGGCGCCAGTGAAGATTCCATTCGCATGGTTCACATGTTTGTACATGTAAACGTATAGATATAGCCGAGTATGTGTAAATAATTTACACATCTCGGTATACTTCAGCGATGGAAGGGGGAATGAGAAAACACCTGGGACGCCTCTTGTCCTTTTTCTTCTGCTTCTTCACGCCTCGGAAACGTTTCGACCACCGGCCAGATAAAACAAATGTTGTTAGCACTGACTGTGTTGACAAAGGCATCTTTTTCCGTTGTTCGGCTGAAGAGCGCTTTCAGCGATGTGTCCGTCCATGCGGTGGTTCCTCCAAAAAACAAAAAACACAGGGACGGACGCCTGCGCAAGACTATAATGCAAACTCAGTTTCGGCTCGCGCCAATGCTGTCTTGTTTCTAAAGTTGCTTGAGTGCTTCTCTTTGCAAGCCAAGTGGCTGGCGGCCTCAATATGCAAATTGACGCGTAGATGCGATCTGGCCGCCAAGAGATGCTATGCGTCCGCTGTGGCCATGCTTGTGCCACTTGCAGAACCTCTGTGCGCAAACCGTCCCGCTCAAAACAAGCACAGCGACGATCAGGCTCACTCTGAAGTAAAGGTTGCACATTGCAAGGCCTCGTCAGCATCTGACTCAGGCTGAAAGCAAGACTTCCAACAGTTCATCCAGCAGCCATTGCTGCAAGGCCAGGTGTAAAAACCGCAAACCCAACATGCTGAAACGCTTTTACCCCCATGGCTTGTCCACCAATGCATCTTATCTCCAAACTGCGCGGGGGGTGTATGTATAAGGGTATACATATATATATATATACATCTCTTTATATCATGTGTACATATTTCTGTAGTTCCTAGTAGCATCACACACATATATCATTGCACATATATATATATATATAATTGAACACATATATACCCGTTTGTTCATAGAATAATGCATTAATGCCTTCATTTTGTGCGAAGCCATTCTGAAAGCGGAGCGCCAGTCTCCAGGTATGGCCCGAGATGGACTCTGTCCTGGTGCGCCGCTTTGTGGTGGACACCTTGGAGCGCTCGCTCACGGACTGCATCCGAATTCGGCCCAAGTGCCGCTCGGAGCAAGATGGGCTGTTGACCGGAGCAAGAGTCACAGGGAGGAAGCTCCGCGGAACCATAAGAACAGGCTAGAGGAATCATAGAAACCCATATGGAACCATGCTAAAGGCATGGGGAGCCGAATGTGGCAGATGAGAGGCGGTCTCCCAGAAGTGAAGGACAATGGGACGCCCCAGCACGGGGCCCGTTGCTTTTGGCAGTCTTCTTTTTCCGTTGACATGGGTGTCACCCCAGTGAGGCATACCCATTCCATAGAGGTATGGTAATACCCTTTAATCATCCGGCCCACGTGGCCACATGATCTTCGCCCCTTTCCACTGTTCAACTACTCGATCAGTACCTTGCCGGGCCCCGGGAAACTAAGCAAAACGGCGGGAGAAGTTGCTAACATCACGTTTTACCAGCATGGGGTGTCGATCCCTTGCGGATTTTTGCCTGCTTGAAAACGGATTCAACTGGAGAAATTCTTTCTCCGAGCGGTTTTCCGATAGCCATGCATTGTGAACCATATGGCAGAACTGCATAGAGAGGCCAGATGCGGTATACCCTTGCGTGATTTCCAGATGAAATTTTCAGAGCAAGTCGTATGGGTGCAAAATAGCCATTGCTGCGTGTCCCACACATAAAGGAGCATGGCAATCATCTTAGTTTTCCAGATAACACATGTTAACGCATCACATAATGGGAACTCGATCAGTTGATTCATCAATCCCTGGGCGCGGCATCCGGTCAAGAGGGATTGACGGCTCCAAGGATACATTCAAAAACCCCGCTTGCAGGGCGACTACTCCAAATCAGCCGGCCAAGGGGATGTTGTGGGCTTAGCAGATCTTAACAGTATGCCTTGGACTGTCTGGTTTTCCCGGTTTGGTCTACTTTGTAGTCAAGGTCCCAAGTTGAGTTGTTCTTGAGGTGTCCTTTGGGCACGGAGGGAACATGGCTGTGCGTCAAAACCAATGGTACCATTTTGGGGTAGGTGCACCACCCATTTTAGTCGTCTATTTTGGTTGGGATTGGGATGTTTACTGGAGGTACGGGCTTTTTGACTCATGGCTACACATATATATATATATATGATATTTATATATACATATTTATACATCTGTACATTTGTATATGTATATTACATATTTATATTGCATAGCTATGTGTACATATTTGTGTATGTCCTGGGTGACCTCACCCCCCCCCCCCCCCGCCCCTCAGCCAGCCTGTGTTTTGAGGCTCCTCATCCTCGAGCCCCTTCCCCTCGAGGGCCCTCACGCTGGAGGAAGTCTTCAGCCCCTCGCCTGCGCTGCGCTACGTACACTCTACTGCTATTGGGTTGGATCTTTAGACTTGAACTTTTCGGATTCCCCTCGTATTTCCTTTCAACCAGCAAAGAGTTAAACTTCTTGCTGGGGGATCTATAGCACCCAAGTACAACTCCCTGAAGGTGGTTGGAGGAATCCGCCGGAACCCACAGAAAACCCTCCGAAAAAAATCGCGCCCGCCCAGAATCCAGCCCAGAACGAGCACCTGATCCAACCCCGGACCTGCACCCTCACCGTAAGAACGCCTTAGTGCAGACAAACTGTTTGGGGAAGTATCTAGGGTGGTTTCAGAGATCTGCAAAATTCCCTCTGGAGTTGATCACCCGGCCAAGTGATTGACGTGTGTCGTGTTGCCCGCAGCCACCGACAACAGGATGTGGCAATGGAGCGCGGTGGGCAGGTTTGATATGGTTGACACTCATTCCCCGACTAAAATAGACTACAGAAAAAATCGGGTACCCTTATTCTAACCTCTCAAATCCGGAGGACCTAGACATGGTAAGGCTCAAGGCTATCACTTTGAAGCTGTCCAAGTCTTATAGAGACACTTGGAGCACAAAGGATCACTCGTAGATGCCTGGCTCGGTTGGTACCCTAGCCATGTTGCTAACATACACAACCTGGTACATGTGTTTTTTTCTCACAGCGTTGCCGACAGCTGGCCCGCCACATTTTCTTGCAACTGCCTGCATGATGCGTGGCTCGGAGCGCTGTGGGAAGATGGCAGCTCCCAAGTCTCCGGGTCTAGGTTCTCGCTATCCAGGAACCGTCTCTAGTGTGTGTGTAGCGTTCAAGAGTGACAAGAGGCCTCCATCCTGAATGAACCCCCCCTACAAATTGGCATGCGCCCTAAATGGGTCGGTTAAAAGGAGCTACCTCGACTGGGGTCGATGGAAGTGGCTTCAACCGCTTTTGATTCGATGCTAGCGGGAGGCTTCCCGAGTTCCAAGGCCGCTACGTGGACGTCTCTGCGATGCCGAGCCGACATTTCTTCCATGTGCAGCTGGGCTTCAGAAAACATAAGGTCCAACACCACCCGGCCAGAGTTTTGGATAAGGAAAAAAGACCGTGGTTGTACGTATGCCATGCCGTGGAGGGATCATGCACCACGACACACACGTGGGTGAACCCCGACGCTCTCCGCACTGCGAGATTAATTGGGAGCCCTTTCGGGTCCTTGACGGACGCTTTTGTGACAAACTGGCCGTTGGCGCAGGCTCCTTCCATTGGAGGTCCAGAACTCTTTGTCGTCACTGAATGGAGGAAATATAAGATGTCTCGTATCACAGATTTTCTTGTCTCAGCCCGGGGGCCGAGGCTGTCTCAGCACACCCCGGATGAGCTGCACAAGAAGAAGCTGAGACTCTTGGCCAATGCACAGAAGCAAGTCGCGCGTTAACAGGGTCTTCTCAGAAATTCGGCTGACATTGAAAGGACACCCAATTCTAGGGAGTCAAGAGGGCAGTAATTTTCGATCCGTGTCGAAAGGTTCTGCAGTGGCCGCTGGTTCCCCAATGCCGGATTTCTTTTTCAGATGATTGACTGCATGCCTGTGAGATGTTGTTGTTTTCAGTACCGTTTTAGGCATGAACCAGCTTCACGCTCGCATGAATTTTATGGGAGCCTGGGAGTAATGGAACATCACTCTATGAAGGGGTTTTCCCGACTTCAATGTTGAATGCCTCCACTTAAAAAGAGACGCCGTCTTTAGCAATCAGGATTCCTTGACTCAAATTATGTTTCTTTTTTTCTTTTTCTTTTTTCTGCTGACAGGGGCCAGTTTATTGAAGGCTTGGACTTTTTTTCAGCAGGTTGTTCATCACAAGGGGCAAGGCAGGTTTGTTTGTTGCTTTGCTTTGCTTGCTCCCTCGCTTGCTTATTTGCATTCGTGCCTGTTCGCTTGCTTGTTTGTTGGTTTGGTTTGGTTTTGCCTCGTTTATGTTTGGGCGTTTCGCATTTTCGTCGGGCGCATGCCAGTGGCCGTGCGTGTTTCTACTTGGCACCGGTGACGAGCCCGGCAGCCGGGGTGACTTGAGGCGAGTTCGCTTCACGCACGCTGGAAGCCAAAGATGCACTCTACGAGCAGCCCGGACATGTGCAGGAAGAGCATAAGCCAGGCCAACGGAATGGTAGGGAGTGTTTTCATTTCTTTGGGGGGAGGGGCAGAAGAAGCTCATATCAGGTTCCCTGCAATTGGTGGTTTGGATTGGTGGTTTAAGGATTTGAACCTGTGGCCATTGTGGAAAAAATTGGAAATGGGAAGCCACCCCTTAACGGTCAAAGCTGCGGTTGAATGTTTTTCGTTGCCTCGGAAAGCTAACCGGCACGTTAGAGCACATCAATGTTGGGTAGGACATGTCTCAGAGGCGTGCCTGATGATAGCAGTCACTTCCATGATTGATGAGTTTGCATTTCTGGTCGGGCAACCCGTGAACAGGTAAGCCGCTAACCCCTTAAATCAGGTGGGGAAAAGGGCCATGAGTGTGGCTTCCCCACTTTTGTCGCCTGCTCCGCTGCCGGCCTGGAGGTATTGCAAGCGTGAGCGCCGATCAGCGGCAGAGGTGCAAACTGACTGCCCATTTTTATTGTTTTTGTTTTTTCCGCAGCTCTTTTTTTCATTCCCAGGACCATGACATGCGAATTTGACAGGACGAAAAGGCACCATGGGAACATCACAGTTCCAACTGGGGATGCGAAACAAGTGCTGAACAATGAAGCGACTCGTTCTCTCTTCATGCGTTCGAGCTTGTTGGCAGTCCCCATGGCATTTGAGATGAGGTTTGCTTACATGGGCCTGAGTGCAAGCGCGTTGGACCACACCATGGTAAATTCCGTTCCTTTCACAAGTGTTCCTGGCATATGTCCACATGTTGATCATGCCGCTTGCAAAAGTTGGGTTGTTTAGGTAGCTCATCCCCACCCAGTAGTGGACGTTTGCCATCGTTGCTCCTGTAGCATCCGGTTTCGGAAGAGCCATGGGTCATGACGAAGGAAGCCCTACGTCATTGTATTTGTTTCCTTGCTGGGAGTCTTCCAATACTTTCAACTCTTGTCGGCAACAGTCCATCCCTAGCCCCAAACCCTACTCAATCGTGGCAGCAGGGTTTAGGATCCGGCCTTCCCAAACTGAAAGTGCAGTGCCGGTCGTTCGAGATGTATCAGTCTTCGGCATGTCAGGCTCCAGACAAATGGGCGTGTTTCGAGGCAACCCCTGTAACGTGACAGGACTTTTTTGGAGCCCTGGATTTGGGGGGTTTGTTGGGGGGCGGGTAATGGGAACCCCCGGATAAACCAGTTCCAGTTTGTTAGTAGGGTGTCCCTGGGTGAAAGAAATGTGGGGAATGAGACCACTTGCTTCGAGGGAACACCCCCCACCACGAAAAATGGATTACATGAAATACGGAACATGTTTACACAAGACATGTAGTTTCCCCATAGATAGGATGGTGTATTAGTCCGGGGTCAACATTACTTGTATGTGTTTCCTTTTTTTCGAATTTCCATGGGCAAAACCCATGCACTCAAAAGCTCAGTCAAGCGGATCCGGTTAAATCTTGCATAGCTTTTCGATTCGGTGTCTCTTCAAGTGCAAGGATTGAAGGCTGCAAAGCTGATGCCTGATATGTCCAGGCATGTCTACCCGTCCTTTGGAATTGTCGTTCTTTTCTGCTTTGTTCGGCATCTTGGTATCATCAACATTGCTCAATGCTGATAATGCCGAGGAGTCCACCTCGGCGCGGGGTCAGCTACACGTTGCGGAACATGGGCCCCTATGTGCAAGTCATTTATTCAATTATTGAGACGTGTTTCTTTTGCACACATTGCAGCGAGCCTGCCAAAAAGAAAGAGGCACGGCGCTGCAATTTGGTGTTGGAGTTGTGTTGCAAACGCCGCTTGCCCGTCCAATGAAATTCATTGCCATTCCGTTTGCTTTCCGCTGCGGGTGCATGAATTGTTATGCGAATCCAAGTGCTGTCCAGGGAAGCACCCCCCTCAGGTAACCTCTTATGAAAGCCGTATGGGGGTACCAGAAATCTGTCTAGCGGTTGATTCCCCATTCTTTTCAGCCATCGTTCTTTTCAAAAGCCAGCCATTTCCCCAGGGTTTTTGGTGGTCTTCCAGAAAGAAGGATCGGAAAGAATTGGAAGCTACCCCTAGAATCTGGGAATCTGGGGAGAACTCCATAAGAGGCTCCTAAGTAGGGGTGCCAAAGGGTACCTAGAAAATTCTTTTGATTTTGGACGCCTGTAGTTCCCAGAGTTGCCTCGCAACATCTCTCGATCGTCACAGTCCCACACAGCGCAAGCCAAGGGCAAGCGAAAGGGCTCCACCTGGTTTTCCCTCGATCAATCCAGGTCAATTCGGGGTCAGGCGTGTATTTTGCATGGTTGCCGGGGGGGGGGGGATTCAGTAACTCATACCCCACCTGTTGCTCGTAACTCATTTCGCTAGTTTAGGTTGACAATTGGAGTGTCCATTTCTGAATTTAGTCACCTTTTGGGAAAACAACTTTGTCTTGCCGACCCACTCAAGGAATAAAGAAGTCTTTCGATTGTTAGGCTTTTTCGGTTCTGAGGCCTGATGGGAATGCCACTTTGCTATTGCAGAATTCTTTCCAGTAACTTCGTTGGCATGGTAGGTCATGTGGGACTTCTGGACGGCGCGGCCGCCTCTGGCGGAGCTGCTTAGTGCTTTGCCGCTGCTTCGGCCACGGCGATACTCCATCGCCTCTAGCCCGAAGCTCCTTGGAGAAGAACAGCTGGGTCCATGTTGCTTGGTGGCTCCCGCTTTTTGGCCTTTTAGTGTATAGTGCGAGTTTCCATTTAACCCGCTAAAAGTTAAATTTTAGCGAGGAATCTGAGGGCAGCCCAGGTTGACTTCTGCTGTATTTGAGGTCGTTGGACGTGTTTGAAGTGGCGGTTTCTGAGTTTGTCTCTTTGCTGTTTGTTTGTTTGCCTCTTTGTCTGTTCGCCTGATTGTTGTTTGCCTGTTCGCCTATCTGCCTGTTTTGCCAATTTGCAATTTTGCCTGTCTATTTGCCTGCCTGCCTGTCTGTCTGTCTGTTTGCCTGTCTGTCTGTCTGTGTGTTTGTTTGTTTGTTTGTTTGTTTGTTTGTTTGTTTGTTTGTTTGTTTGCCGTTCTGTGAGTTTGTCTGTTTGTTCGTGTGCCTGTTTTCCAACTTGTTTGTTTCTTCTCTGTTTCCGTGTTTGTTTGCTTGGTTGTTGGTTTGCGTGTTTGTTTGTTTTGTGTTGCTTTAGTTTATTATTCTTTGACTGACTGACTGGCTGACTGATTGACTGCCGACTGACTGTTCTGTTTGTTGTTTTGTTTGCTTGCTTGCTTGCTTGCTTGCTTGCTTGCTTGCTTGCTTGCTTGCTTGCTTGCTTGCTTGCTTGCTTGCTTGCTTGCTTGCTTGCTCGCTTGCTTGCTCGCTTGCTTGCCCGCCCGCTCGCTCGTTCGTTCGTTCGTTCGTTCGTTTGTTTGCGTGTTGGTTTGGACACATGGTTGCCTGGCTTGCTGGCTGGCTGCGTGGCTGGGCGGCTGGGTGGTTGATTTGTTGGTTTGTTGGTTGGTTAATTGGCTGGCTGGCTGGCTAGTAGGTTGGCTGGCTGGTTGGCTGGCTGGCTGATTGGTTGGTTGGTTTATGGGGGTCCTGTTTTGTTGGCTTGGTTGGTTGGTTGGTCGGTCGGTCGGTCGGTCGGTCGGTCGGTTGGTTGGTTCGTTGGTTCGTTGGTTGGTTGGTTGGTTGGTTGGGTGGGTGTTGTGTTTGTTGGTTGGTTGGTTGGTTGCTTGCTTGCTTGCTTGCTTGCTTGCTTGCTTGCTTGCTTGCTTGCTTGCTTGCTTGCTTGCTTGCTTGCTTGCTTGCTTGCTTGCTTGCTTGCTTGCTTGCTTTTTTGCTTGGTTGTTTGCTTGCTTGCTTTCTTGCTTGCTTGCTTGCTTGCTTGTTTTGATTGGTTTGCTTGGCTTGCTTTTTTGTTGCTTGCTTGTTTGCATGGTCTCTTGCTTGCGCGCTTTATTGCTTCCTTGCGGCCTTGCTTGCCTTGCTTACTTTCTTGCAGCAATCAAAGCAAGAAAGCAAGCAAGCCAGCAAAGCAAAGCAAGCAGGCAGGCAAAGCAGGCAAGCAAAGCAAGGAAGCAAGCAAGAAAGCAAGCAAGCACGGAAGAAAGCAAGCAAGCAAATCAAGCAAGCAAGCTGGCAGATGCACAACCCAGCCAAGGTGGCCAAGCCAGAAGAAGCAAAAGGGACTCATTGGATTATAAGATGACTACACTAGACCTTTGTCGGGGGTACCCTGAACGGGTCCACGTTTTTTTTTACGCCTGGAGTGATCTCCTTTTGGGGGGTGTCCCTTAGGTGGGCTGGGCCCGGCAGAGCAGTGGGCGCCTGGTCGCTGACCCAGCGGCCCTTCTGGATGCCCTTGGAGGCGAAGCGGATTTCTGGGCGAAGCGGATTTCTGCTCTTGTACCGTTTCTTTTTTGGTTGGGAAAATTATCCTACTAAAATAGACTACAGGAAAAAAAGGGTACCCTTATTCCAACCTCTCTACTCGAGGACCTAGTAAGGGACCATAGGTGATTTTTTGTTTGAATCGCCTGACGCATGGAGGGCACTTCGAATTAGTCTGGACTTGGGCAGTCCTCTTCTTTCCCGTGTGGACCCCTGTCTGGCCTGCAATAGGAGAAAGCAACAGGAAGTTGCACTCTTAACTTTCCAGTGCCGGAGAGTCGGCCAGGATTCATCAGAGGCGTTGTGTTTTGTTTTGGGGGGGGAGGCGGCATCCTTGAAGGGGGGTTACGAGCTTGTCAAACCTTGTTCTTGTTTCAACAAACTGTAGCAAGAAATGTATTATTTATATTTTGTTTCCTGTTACCCGAATTCTTTGTTTCAACCATGGCATTTTTCTTGTTACCTAAGATACGCTATGGTAGCAAACTATGGTTGTATTGTTTCCTGCCACCCGTATTCTGTTGTTTCTGGAATGGCAGCCCATTGAGACCGTGAAAGGAGTTGGTCGTGTTGGCCTGAGTATTGACAACATCGTTGGCAATGTAAAATTTGGTTTTGTGTTTGTTTGATTTTGGGTCATATACGGACGTCTTTAAACACAGGGGGGGCTTGGGAGGTGCCCCACCAAAGTAAGCGGGGTCTTTTTGCCGGCCTTGTGGGTGCCTTTAAATCAGTATTGGCTGGCAGTCGGCTGGCAAAACCGGGCGTCTTTCATCAGCCGGGTTTATTCATCATGTGGCGACATTACGTGCTACAAAGCACGTTCGCCCTGTATGTGTTCGTCGTTTTGTTGGGGGTACCCTTCTTAATTGAGGCTGTGTTGAAGGCAAGCGGGAATCGGTCACGGTTCCACTGTTGACAGACCATAGGTTTTTCCGAGTTTCGCGGGCAAACGGTTGATGAGCCCCGTGACGCTTCCCATCAATCGGCCCAAGCTGGGTTTTGATTCAGGAGCCTGTTGCGCTTATGTCATCTCCTTGGTTTTCAACATGGGGCTGACCAATAATTGTTATGGTCAAGGGTGGTCATTGTTGTTTCTTTGGGGTAGCCTATCCCTTCTGCGTCATTAGCGAGCCAGGCGTTGTCCATGCGCATATGGATGTGCAGGCCTTGAATTCTGCAGTGGATCTTGTTCATTGCCAGGCTGTTCCCTTGGTTGGACATGATTGGGATGTTTTGGCTTGCAGTCTTCTTCCTCTTCTTCCATATGCTTAATCATTGTTGTTAATTTTCCCCTTTTGGTTTTAAGGGGAATCTTTCTGGACATACTTTTCATTCTTGAGAGGGGACCTCTCAGAAAGTGGAGGTGAACAATGCAGGCAGATCGGCGTGCTTGCCTTTGAAAGCGGATTTGAAGGCCGGGGTTTGCGAGGTCTCTCCTAGCCGCGCCTTGCCGCGGATGCTGGCGGACCTTTGGGGCGAACATGGCCTGTCGGAGGATCTTGCGCCTCGGTGTTTTTGTCGGCACAAATCCCTTTATGTCGGCAAAGGGGATGACTCGAATGCGACAACTTTCGCCCAATTGCCGCCAAAATGCTTAGAATGTGGTTGCGAGGTGCTTGAACTCAAATTATGTTGACCACATCTTCAACCCTTATTTAGCACGACCAGCAGTTTTGCTCAGCAAAAGGGGGGTTTTCTGCTGAACGCCGTGCTGATCCTGAAAGCGCCATGCGCATCTCTTTGGGGCCCAGGGGCTTCGCAGACAGCCGCCAAGGTGACCATTGGGCGGTAGATTGGGCGGTAGATTGGGCGGTTGCCTGACACCGCAACGAAGGTCGGCAAGCATGGGTGTCCTTTTTAGGTTAGTGTGCTCAAAAATAGAAGGCACTGGTTTAGATGGGTTTTGTTTTATATACCAGGGCCATCTATTTTTCCAAAAGGACACCTATGTCGGCAAGATGTGAGAAGTACACGGAGGGACATGTTCTAGGTGCCCTTCTCACCCCTTTTTTGGTTGGGAGGGTTCCCCTACTAGAATAGACAAATCAGAAAAAAGGGTACCCTTATTCTAACCTCTCTACTGGAGGACCTACTGTTTTTCCTATGGAAAGTCTCCACGAAAAGCCTCTTGAGTGACCTGTAGGGGTCTGGGGTCCAGTTGCAACTGGACCTCGTGTTGCCCTGCATGTTTGAGGTTCACGAAGCCTGGTCCGCATATGTTTGTGTAGCCGCGCTAGGTTGGCACTTGCGCATCCAAGTTCGTGTCATTTCAAGCATGTCGCGGCGTGTGCGGCTGTTTTTCTCCCTTTTGTCTTTCTTTGTTCTTTTCTGTGTTTTTCTTTTTGGGTGGGTTCTCCCCGGTGAAGCCAAGCCTCCGACGCGAGCGGGGAACTTGCGCTCAGGATCTCTGCGTGGGCATCGTGGACTCCGTGACCAGGAGCAACCGCCAGGTGAAGGGCCTTTGTCGCTCGGCGAAACCGCCCGTTTCCAGCTGGAAAGGTCTGCTTTTCTTGGCGCCCAGCCGTCCGGTTCCTTAGCCTTTTAGCCTTTAGCTTCTTAGTGTTTAGCGGTAGTTTCCATTTATTTAACTTTTAGTGACGGATCTGGGGGCAGCCCGAACCTTGGAAACCAATAATTTATTTGTTTTGAATGAAAAATGGCTGTGGGTCAAAAACATGTACCAAAATGGCACCTTGGTAAATGGACCCAAAGACAAAAACCTGCGTAAGCCTAGCTCTTAAATTTTGAGCCACACCCAAATGGGTTGCCACAAGAGAAGGCTCAAAGTCCAAACACGAAGCCTGCTCCAACCTTGAGGTACACTAAAAAGACCGAGCCTCGTGCCCACAAGGCTTTGTTTGGGGGACTTTTGCTTCAGGACATGCATTCAGCAGTTGTGATATGATCGCTTTTCTCGGTTGGAAGACACCTCGGGGGGGGGGGGGGATCAGGATGCGTGTGGCAATGTAAGTAAAGATAATTCACGACAGGGTGCGCTTGTCACGGGGCCCACAGGCTACTGGTTCTGAGCGGGAAATCCTTATAAACAATCTCTTGTTGTTTCCTTTAAGGGGATTAAACCCTGGGTTCATTCCAACTCATTCCCTACTGAGCAAGAGCAATTTAAAGTGGCAACAGTGTCTAGGTGAAGCTTGGGCTGTGCTGATGTAAGGAGACCCACCATTTTGTGAGTGCGTCCAAATTGGCACATACGTACCCCATCGTACCCCTTTTGGAATCTGGCTTGCAAAGCGGCAAGCGGCGCCACAACTAGTCAAAGTGACCCAAACTCCACTGGAAAACTGGGGGAAGGGTGTCTCGACTTTGGCGACCGCCAAGCCAATCGAAAGAAAGTACCTCGGGCCTTAAGGCTCTTTCGGGTGGATCCTTTTCTTCTGCAGGGATCCTTTGTGGATTGATCTCACTGCATCTCAAAGAACACTTAGAATCTATGCTGCCCAGTGGTACCCTTTCTTACTTCGGCTCCCCTTGAAAGTCAACCAATGGCCACTGGGCTTCCCATGAGACAGCCCACCTTTTTCAATGTCAGACGTGGGCTTCGCTCGAAGGCAGTAACTTCCTGAAGAATGCGGCCGTGGGCTCGCGCCTGCGCTGCTCTCTGGAGCGCGGGACGCTGCAGTTGCCGGCCTTAGAGGCCTGCAACGAGCATGGTTTACCTTTATACCCTTTCATACCCGGTTTACCTGGATGTCCTGGACTACCATTATAACCTTTATTACCTTTCATTCCTGTTGGAGTTTACCAATACCCGGTTTACCTTGTGGATCAATTGGACCTGGTTTAACTGTTTGCGTGACTTTGGTGCTACTCGTGCCCGTTACCCCGAGGCAATGGGAGACCCGACGTCTGCGTTAGACACCGAGGTGGTGGGGGGTCTCAAAACCAGGTTGTTTGAAGGCCCTGAATCAATCGGGAGGGGTAGGGTTTGTTAGAAGGTTCCTCCTTGGAAGACGATGCAACCTCCAAAAAAGCTTTGAAGCTGCAAAACGGTGGATCCATTTGGGGGAGCATATATATATATATAAATAAATGTATACATACCTTGGTGGCTCCCAGCCATCCCCTCAACCTTCTAGCTTTCTAGGGTTTAGTGGGGATTTGCATGTAACCCACCAAAAGTTAAATTTTAGCAGGGGATCTGAGGGCAGCCCAGATACATGTGAATTTGCGATCCAAGCCGATTGACCTTTTGGCTTCGGCTGGGCAGGTGCCTCTTATCATGGTGTGCCCGGGAACTGGGCTTTCACCTTGCCGGGCGCTGGTGCAAGCGAGGCGAGTGAATGGGCATTTCGTGTGCTGGGCGGGGGTTTCCCTTGCACAACGCCACGAAGGAGGGGCAGTTCTGTTTTGTTGGGCACCCTTTTTGGGGTGTTAAGCTGTTTGGCAAGCAGGGAAACCACACGTGTTGGGGCTTGCGCGACAAAAATCCAGGTGCTTGCGGCCACATGGAAACTCTCCCAGTTATGAAACAAGGTGACGGTACGCGGACGGGAACCGCACGTTGCACGAACGTGCTTTGTGTTTTCACATGATTTGGCGTGGTCTTGCTGCAGGCTCATCAGCTGAAAGTCTAACAAAACATGGATTTTCCCATGGTCATGATCCAATTTAGGTTTTACCCTCACCCGCCCCCCCCCCCCCGGTCCCCCCCCCTCGCCCTCATTCTAATCTGGGTGACTTATAACGACCTCACCTCCCCCCAAATGGTGGTTTATGTGGGGAATGGCCCCCCAACCGCCTTACTTCAGGCTGGTGAAATACTTGTAATTCACCCAGAAGGCATGTGCAAATGGGTTGCCAAGTCTTAAGGGGTCTTGGGAGCTGCCATGGAAGTGCCTGGAGGGTAATAAACCCTAGTCAGAATCTAGTTTAGGTTCCGCCCCCCCGCCCCCATTCCAATCATTTACGCCTTGTCCTCATCCCGCCTCTCTCGGAAACCAAACCCCAACGAGGCCGCCTCGGAAGCTGAAACCGACTCGAGCGGCGAGTGGCCAGGCACCGGCAAGTGCAGTCCAATCCCCTCCAGCGGCCGAAGGACGCGCTTTTTCTTGTTTCATGTATTGTTTGACTGGGGGATCTACAGCGCCCAAGTTAGAAGGAGAACCGGAGAACCCGGCATCGCCTTGGGAGTGCATCCGGAGTTTCAGAAAGCCAAGTTGTCGCGGGGGTTGCAAGTTGGCCCCTTGCCTACTTCCATTTGGTTAAGAATATGTTTTATTTTTATCCTGTTGGTTTTAAAGGGAATCTATCACTACTGGAATTATTTTTTCCAGGGGACTTAAGCGAATGAAGGTTGATTGTTGTTCAAGAAACAATGTTTAGGTTGTTGGTCGCTTGTTTATGGAATCATGTATTTGTACATTGTTGAATGTATTGCACTAGTTCCTTGTGGCTGTTGCGGGGGGCTCGTTGTTTTATTGTTTCTTGCTTTGTTGGGTTGAGTCGTGTTTTCTTTCTGTCTTTTCTTGAGAAAGCAGCTGCTGCTGGGACGTCCCGCAACGTGAGTGCAATGCCTAGGAACATGTTGTGCTAGGCAACGCAGGCCAGCCATACGGTGGATGATTGCGAAAACCAGTCGCACCAGAAAATGAATCCATGGTTGAAACTTGAAACAACAATGTTTGGCATTTTCAGGGAAATCATCAGACGCCTGGGTTTCTGAACGGTGGGGCAGGATTTTGTCCACCCCAGTTTTACATACAATTCTGTTTGCTATGGCGTATGTCTTCGCATTCCAGGATCCCATGTTTATTCATTCTTAGTCTAGCTGGCGCCTGAAGCAGTCTTTCTTGCAGGTATCCCGGCGCGTTTTCTGGTTATCTGTCCTTTTTGTGTCTTAGGCCTGTCTGGCCTCATGTCCTCCAGGATCTGATGTTCCTGGGCTTCCGGCATCAGCGTGCCGACTTCCTCTACGGCGAGGAGTGGGACACCTTCGAGGCGTGGCTCTCGGTGCAGGTGGCCTTCTCCCGGGATCACGAGGACAAGAAGGCGCGCTCCGAAGCGGCGCGCGGAAGCGCTCCGCGCCAGCTGCTTGATGCGAGCTGGCGGTGTGGATTGGCCCGCGCGGCCATGGTCCAAGCTTGGGTGTGCCCCCTAAAAAGGGGACCCAAAAGGATCAACAAATGAATAAACACGGGTACAACAACGACGACGACAACGACGACGACGACGACGCCGACGACGACGACGACGACTGCAACGGCAACGGCAACGACAACGACAGCGACAACGACAACCACAACCACAGCAACAGCAACAGCAACAGCAACAGCAACAACAACAACAACAACAACAACAACAACAACAACAACAACAACAACAACAACAACAACAACAACAACAACAACAACAACAACAACAACCACGACGACGACGACGACGACGACGACGACGACGACGACGACGACGACGACGACGACGACGACGACAACAACAACAACAACAACAACAACAACAACAACAACAACAACAACAACAACAACGGTACAACAACGGTACAACAACTCGCAAGTTGTCCAGGTGATGGATGATTGTCTAAAACGCCCCTGATCGGCTGGAGTACTTCTATGTTTGCTTTGTGCTGGGAGGGGCTTTGAGTATTAGCTGTGGTTTCCAAGCTTCAGGTTGCCACAGCACGACCTGAGCAGGAAAGTGTCATGGAGCAACCCTTTCGGCTGTATCACTATAGCAGGGTTTTCGATGTTTTCCCTTTGTCGGATTCTCAAAGGTGACGGATCCTTTGCAAGATGAGGCATCCCCCCTCATCAACCAGGTGAAACTCCTTTTGGGGGACCCCCTTGTGGGCTTCATGTTCACCAGGGAAGAACCTTAGTTTGTGTGCAGTCGTGGCCTCAAAGACCCCACTGAACAGCCAGGTCTACGTGCAAGACTTGATCGAAGAGCAGGGGCCACATGTGCGGCGCTTGCTTGCGCCTTGCCACCTTTCAAGGTCAAAACTGGTTTTATTTCCCAGGTTGCTCGAGAACAATCCATCCTTACGCCTCATGGTAATGCTTGGTTTCCTTTCTTGTAGTGGCATCCCACTACGGGTTAGGATTGGGTACCTCCCCCCCATTTTGAACAAGCCAGACTTTGCTTTTCAGTGGCAGGCCTGAAATCCTTTGTGCTCTCCTTTTCCCGTTTTTTTCTTCTTCTTTTTTTTCTATATGTCCTGAGGCACAGTTTTGAGAAGTGTCAGTCAATAGCAACCCCTTTCATGCTGTCATGCTGGCGCTTTCTGATGTTCCGACGCCGACGTGGGGGTTTACGGTGCCACGCGAGCTAGATATGCCCTGGTCCTTCTGTCCATTTCTTGAGAAGCCGGTTGTCTTCCCAGGATGAACAAGCAAAACGCAAGTCCCGAACAAGTAGATGCGCAGATGTAAGACAACTAGTTTAGTCCTTTCGCGAAGCTATGGAAAATTGGAATCGACAGTTTGCATCATTTTCATTGATATATCATTGATGTATCATTCACTTGCAAGTTGCAAGAAAGACAACCTGGAACTGCGCAGCATGCAGCGTCCCATTGCACGCCCCCATCCTGAAGCTTTCCTAGCAAACGGCGCATCAATCGGGAGCCTCTGGGTAGCTGACCATTCCCCATGCCAGCAACGAGGCAGAGAACTCCGCCGCGGAGGGCTCCGCGTTTTCCACGCGGAGTTGGAGTTGGCATGGTGTGAAGGGCCCGGAAAAATGAGCCCGGAAATCAGTCTCTGAGTACCTTTTGGGTTATAGGACCAGTTTAGTGGCTAGCAAAAAGTTCAGACATTTTTTGGAATCTCCACTCGATCGGAAGTGAGGAAATGCACGTTTCGATATGAGAAGGGTTGTGGCCAATGACAGCTGTCGCCCGCTGGTTCAGCTGTCACCTCGCTGGTTGCCAGGGCCGGCCCCGGCCGAGCGGTGGTTTCAGGCATGTGTGGTCGGTTGGCCCGTTGCTGAGGACGCGGGGGCAGTGATCTTCGTGTGCGGTCGCTCCCACCCAATGCCCTCCCAAGTCTTTGACGCTTTCGTGGAGGTCCTGCAGCATGGAGGTGGGAGCGATATGGACGTGTGTGTTTTTTTGGGAGGGCACTGCATTTTGGGGAGGTTTGGATGGGAAGTCAAAATGGCACATTTTTAGGGTCCATCTATTTTGATTCATAACCAGGTTCCTGACAATTTCTGCTTCAAGGCCATTTAGCCACACAAATGTGTGGATGGTGCCCTTTTAGTTGAGCCATCGGCGCCGGGCTTTGGTAATAGGGGGGCGCAGCTTTGTCAACCCAAGATCAAGTAATGTTGACCCAGGATTAATAAACCCGTCCCACTATTAGGGGGTGTTCCCTCCAAAAGTGATGAATCCCCACTAAAAGGGGACACCCCCTATTAATCAACCAGGGGTTTATTAATCCGGGGTTAACATTCATGGATTATGGTTGCTGTAGAGTTTGCGGTTGACACTTGTTTTTCTGCGGGTTGTTCGCCAATGAATGGCCGAAGCCGGCGTGCCGGCTTCACTTGAACGGATGGGTTGGACCCGGTGTCCGGGTAATAGCTGCGATTGCGCCGATTCAGCATGACTTGCAGTGGGGGGTTTATCATGTCCGATTGCCCGGCACTGTGTAACATGTTATATGTTTTGCATACAGCTTGCTGATGTTTATGGCCATGCTTGGTATCTCACTTCCTGAGTTCATGGACTTTAGTCACTTTTTGGGTTCGGACTCCAAGATAGGAGCATTTTACTAGTAAACGAAAGTTTGGGGACTGTTTGATCGGCAGTGCTTGCTATGCAGTACTTGGTCTCGCAAGAATCTAGATCCTCGCCAGTTCCCAGCCAGGACCTGCTGGTGGCAGCTTGGGAGAGGGAGACACAGCAAACCTTCCCTCGCAGGTTCAGAATACCTCACTCCCTGAGTCCCTGAGTTCCGTTTTGAACACCATTTTAGTGGCAAGCAGAAAGTTAGACCTTTTCTGACCAATCCACTCAAGAAGTGAGATACTGTGGACTGCTGCGAAATCCATTTCGCACCGCAAAATGAATCCATGCAGGTTGTCTGTCGGAGTTTACAGGGGAATGTTGGTATTTGCGTTGGGGAATCGAATCAGAAACCAGGGTTTCTTAGGTGGTGCGTTTGGAGGTCGTCCATGTACAGTAGGATATGCGCTGCCAAGACATACCCTTTCCAAAAAGGACTGCAGCCAGAAGAAAGGAATGAAGGTCTGGTTGAGGTAATTCTGGCGAGAGCTATTTATTGCAGTACTGCCTGGTTGCAAGCCAAAATTCAAGGCGTCACGCCCCTAACCCCCCAGGGATGGGCGCGCATCAGACGGCAGAGATGGTTCACGAGCCACGTTTCACGGGAGCATCCTTTGCTTGGTGTCCGAAGGGAAGCCACTGGGCCGATGCCCTTAAACGGGGCTCCTTAAAAGATCATTTTGCAACCATTTGGAACATGGCTTTTTCCAAAGGGAAACCACCATTTACAAGGCAATGTTCAGGTGTATGATGCAAGGATCCCTGTTCAATTTGGCCGACCCCACACCTGGAGGGGTCGCTGAAGATGGAGATTCCATGTCCCTGTGCTGACGGCTAGGCATGACTGCGGAGGCTGCCACGCAAAGGCTGCGCCTGATGCAACGACCCCTGGCAACCGTGGGGGCGTCTTTCCATTTACCCTCCTGTCCACTAACATGTAACATGGAACCCACACAAAGTCCCTTTTCAAGGAAGCTCGTCTTCCAGACCCCGCCCCCACCCACCCCCCAGTCAGGTTCCATGTTGGTGGAGAAGGGTATTTAGGACTAATACCTTTGCTCGGTTGTGTTCCTTTGGTTTCCCATAAAAACCACCCTAAAAGGGTGCCATCAACAAAATCTAGCCGAGCCACCCATATGGTTGTGCGGCTCCCAGCCATCCGGTTCCTTTAGCCTCTTCATGTTTAGCGGTAGTTTCCATTTAACCCACTCAAGCTTAAGTTTTCAGCTGGGGATCTGAGGCCAGCCCAGATGGAAGAGATATTGTTTTCTGTGTATCCCAGATTCAGGCTTCGGCCAGCTTTGCGACGTTAAGTTCCAGCCTTCAGTCATAAGTCAATGCTATGAGAAGGTAGTCATTTTGCTGGCTGGATGGATTAGTTTTAGTTTGGTTAGATATGTTCACAGCCATTTGGCATAGGTGTCCTTTTTGATCGGTGAGTTTGGTTGGACATAGATGGGTTCCACTGGTTTAGAGGGGTCTGCCCCAATTTGCGAGCGAAACTCATCGATTCGTTCCAAAAGGTCACGGCAATTGGGATCTGTTTTGGAAGGGCCCACGGCATAAGTGCTTTTGCACTCAAACCCCCGGAACAGTGAGGTGCTCCGATCTCTCGTTAAATATTCAGTGGCACAACACATGGGGGTCACGCAGACAGGCTCAGAAAGACCACGTCCTCAGTTGCCGAGAGCGAATCGACCTGTCAACCTTTTGGATTTCTGATGTTGGTCCATTTTTGGTAGAGGTCCCAATTTTGTTTGCAGGGCTTTAAGGGGCAAGTGAGTATTTCGGTCCCAAAGAACCTATGTTTCTGGTGGCCTATGCTTCCATTGGGACGTGTGCCGTTTCAGGGGGACTTGGGGTTGACGACTGAGGCACACAGCGCTACATTTGCGACACCTGGGGCTGAGGGATGGCATGTTGTCCTCCGCGCTTACTGGGTGCTAAATAGCACGTTCATCATGTTCCTCGATGGCCGCAGCAAAACGCCTCTTGCACAAACTTGCATTCTACCAGCAGTTTGGCTCCTTCAGTGCAGCAACAAGTTTTTGCACTTAGGATCAATGATTGAAGATTGGGCGTAGCCTGCCGGGCATTGTCGTGCTCGGTAGTTGCCGCTCAGCTGGCGCAATGAGACCCGCGCAAGTCGCGAATGCCCAGCGGTATCCAAATGAGCTGCGTTGTTTCGCGTCGTTCGCCTGCCGAGTTTATCACAATCACCATTGTATCCTCGAGTCAGGATGATATCGAGCTTGCCTGGGGCTGAAATGCGCTTCCCCATGAAGGCCGTTCAATTGGGAATGTCTTTGTTCAGGTTTGTGACATTGGTTGCAGGTCGCTCCCTCATGGCATGCAATAGTCGCCAACTTTCAGATTGACAGGATACGGTGCTTGAAATCTGGCAACTGCTGTTTGTTCCCAGGGACCGCCAATCTTGGACCCCGAATTTGGAGCGGCCCTGGAGGGTTTGGGGGTTCCGGGGAAGCCGGGAATGGCTAAGAGTGGTCCGTGTTGTTTTCGGGGGTTTCTGGCTCGGAAATCACGCATGCCTGTGAACATGTAGGGCTTACGGAATCCCCTTTTTTATCGTGATCAAGTAGTCTTTGGGATGGCCTTTGCTTTCGGTATCACCGAGATGCGTGCCTTTTAGCAACAACCATGTACTCAAAATAATGATCAACATCACCCAACATGCTTTCCGAGCAAAGCATCAGTGCGTTTTGTATGTCCTCTCTGGTGATCTTGTGGGGGTGCCAAAGTCGACACGTAAACCGTGCGCAATCCTCGATTTGCAAGCAACAAATTGATGCTGGCTAGGTGGCCATCCCCTTGCATTGGAGACAGCACCTGGCTGAAACCAGGCGTCCGAATTTGTGACATCCAGGTTTGTCTCGAAGGGAAACTCTTGGATGACAACAAAATGAGTAAACAACATGCCGGGAGAACAGGAGTCTTGCAACTTTGTTGGCGTTCCCTGAATTTCCGCTGACACGTTTCGGGGTTTCCGAACGGAAGCCATTTGTTTGACTGGGCTCCTTGAAGCGTACATGCTGACCATGCTAATCCGCACATGTTGCTCGCTGCGGAGATTCTCCCATGGAAACTTTTAAACTTCATGATCCCAAGTGGGGCGCCTTACTTTGCATCGGCGATGGAGTCCCTGCTTGCCAGCCAAGTTTTCACATTTTCTGAGAGACATCTCAGGACAGCTCCAAGTTGTAAAGCCCTCTTTGACTCCGTCCTTTGCATCAGAAAGGTCTTCAAAGGGAGAGGTTTCTTCCATTTGCTGAACTGAATACTTGCCATTATCGCCTGTTTTGTTTGGGGGGAATCGAGTTCCCTAGAGTCTGAATTAACCCGAATCAGAAATGGGTCATTGACCAACCATTTTGGGTAACCAACCAGCCCTGGTAAATGGAACAAAACCTATCTAAACCCGGAGCCTCCTTCTGACCCTCAAAAAATGGGGGTCACCCAAAAGAATGGTTGGTCATAGACCCATTTTTTAAGGGTCGGTCATGGAGACTCCAGGTACTGCTTCTCAGGTCACCGGCCCCTGGACTGGGTCGAAGTCCGAAGCATGGTGAGCTCTGAGGCCTTTTTGAAGTATGCCGGGGAGTTTGGGATGGGTTGGCTTCACTCTTCTGAGCTCTTTTTTTTGTGGTTCTGCTCATGTTTGGTAGGGGGGGCTGCAACAGGTCAGTGCATCGTCTGTACACGCGGAATTCGGATCGTCTGTACACGCGGGACCGGATCGTCTCTGCACGCGGGCCTTTTTTGCCCCGGATCGTTTGTACACGCAGTGCTTACTGCTATGCACAAGCGGGTGTGCTTATTAGGTGGTAAGCGTGGATGCAGCGCTAGGCGGACGCGCGTGAGCGGGTGTGCCCCACCCCGCCCCGCCCCAGCCCCCACCCCCACCCCACCCTTCCCCAATACCGCACCCCATCTGTTGCACGTGAGCGGGTATGCTTATTAGGTGGCAGGCATGTGCTTACCCGCCTCCCCACCCACCCCCCACCCCTTCGGGCTACTCTTGGAAACAGCGCTGAGCGGGTGCACTTGAGCGGGCGTGCTGACCATTCCCCCCTCCCCCCCACCACCCCTGAGCGGGCGCGCTTGAGCGGGTGTGCTTACCAATCCCCCCCCCCCACAGTTAGACAGGGGGGCTTTCCCGTCCGCATTTTGCCATCCGGTCCTAGGGTCCCCCCCACACTTTTGGGCACATTCTGAATACGCCCACTAAAACAGCCTATTTTCAACATTCAAATTCAATCACCCAACCAATCCAACACCAAAAAACACATATTCATATACCCATCTTCATTTCTTACCCCATCTCAACATCACCCTTACACTCATTCAATAACAACAATCATAACTACATACCACCTCAACAAATCCCACCAAAAAAATCCAAGCTACATACCAACATTTTTTCATTCCCAAGATCGCAACCCCAAGATCTCAATAATTTCTCCCTTGATCCAACCTGAGACCCTTTCCCATTTCCAACAAATACGAACAGTCTAAAAAAGAACCCTATGTTCGCCCCGAAAAATGGTTAACCAATGGAAAAGGGAGAATTAAAACCGTTAACCCAAATCTTGAAAACAATCCCAGCAAAATATGGATGGCAAAATGCGGATGGGAAAGGCCTATGTAGGAAAGCACCCCCACGGCTTATACATGAAAATTACACTATAATTATAACATATAAATTTTTACATGTTATAATTATACTATGGTTTTAATCATCATCATCTCTGTATTCAAGTAATTTAAATTCTGGACATTCTACAAATTTAGTGTTATGTGCAAAGCACCTTCTACAATATTCATTGTCGTAGATGTATTTAACAACTTTATTAAAGTCTCTGATCATATTATTGTAATTAAATTTTGTTCCTTCGCAACAATAAGCTATTCTGTTAACATCGTTATTGTAAATGCCTCTATATATGTTTCTTAATATGCTTATCTTGTCAAACGAGAACTTGAATTCTACTTTCAAGTCTTGTTTGTCAGGAAAACTATGACAGCGAGAGAATAAGTAAATATATTCATTTATGGCTGTTCCTCTTTCGGGGTTTTTAACTGCCATTTTTCTCCTTCTCACTGACTTGCACCCCTCGCATTCTTCATAGTTAAATTTACACATGTTATTGATGATATTACTTGGCAAGTTTAACTTACTTAACTCAACTTTCTCGTCATTTAACTTACAATAGCAGTCAGCAACACGTTTATCAAATATGTTTAGCATGTCATTTGTATAGATCTTATTTAAGAATTCATTCATAATTTCCTCTTGTTCAATCTCAGTAAATACTACCATTCTGATGCTAACGTATATAGGTAATATTTCTTTAAATACATTTTCAGAGAAATTATAATTTATAGAAATATTTTTACCACTATAATTACAACATATAAGATTTTACATGTTGTAATTATAGCAAAACTATGGTATCAAAGGCTTTAACCTATGTATTTCCAGGGGTTGTATTCGTTTCTTCTGTTCCTTCCTTAACTCTTTTGTTGCTTTTACTTTGTCTCTGCATTCCTTACATGTTTTGTAAAATATCTCTTCCATTTTAATTCTATCATACATTTTGTGAAAGTCCTTTCTTGGCTTTGCTTCGTCGCATTTACTGCAAGGATAAACCATTGTGCATCCTGTTTCTTCTTCATCATCTGTAGAACTCATAATATTAGTTATGCCAATATGTCTTTAAACGGATTTTCAGAGAAACATGTTTTTAATCAAGAATAAACCCCTGTATCTTCATCATAGTCAATTTGATAAAATGTCATAGTTGAAGCCTTCGGTTCTTTAATTTCTTTTTTATTAAGTTTGTTTAAATAAATATTTCTTTTATTTTTATATTCACCATTGGTTCGATCTACTTCTTTACTTTGATAACTGTTTGTTAACGGTTTCTTCTTTTCCATTTCTTGTAAGATTTCTAAAATATTCTTATTCTGTTCTAAAACCTTGTTCAGTTTTTTAACCATCTTTTCTAATCCTTCATCCATGTAAATATATATATTATATTATAAAATAAAACTTTTAAAACTAAATGTTTAAATTATGTTAAACCTACTCTTTAAATACTAATTTTTCATCATTTGTTTAACAGTTTCCTGAGTTTCCTTATCGCCATTATCGGATGGCGATGCATGTCTCCCCCATTTGATAGCAATATTATGAACATCTGTTTCTAAGTTGATACTGTCTTTAGTTTTATCAATATTCATTTTCTTATCATTTCTACTTATTTTGAAACTGGCTGGAATACACGAACATTTACAGTTTCCTTTCTTTTGTATTTCTAATTCATTTTTCATTTCTAATATTCTTTTACACATTGGACAAGCAAACTCAATAACTGATGTCTCTTTAACAACTTCTTCTTTTTCTTCATCAGTTGAAGAAACAACTGGTTCAGTCTTATTCTTTTTCTTTCTTCCCATTTATATTAATATTTACATTTTTATTTTTGATATATTGTATCATAAACTTAATTATTTCTAAAACAAAATAGCATATTTTCTTGCATCTATTATCAGTTATAACAACTTGTTCTAAATTCTCTACTTCATCTATTATATCAATATAATCTGAATAGCTTCTATTCATATAAAATAATAAATATAAAATATTTTCTAAATAACTTTAATATTATTTTATTATGTCAGATGTTCCAATAATAAAGCCAATAAACATAACTGAATATGAATTCAAACAATCTAAATATGAGCACGTGCCAAAATTACCATTTAGAAGTATTATAGTTGCTTCTTCGACAGGTGGCAAAACAGTATTGGTTCAGAACCTTATCTTAAATGTTTATAGAAATTCATTTGCAAGAATATTTATATTTTCCCCCAGCGTTCATAATGACCCAACTTTTACAGAAGTAAAGAAATATATTAGGGATGAACTACATGTAGATGATGAAAAAGAACAAATCTATTTTGATAATTATAATCC